AATTCATTTTAGCCTGAGTGTTTTTAAAATAGCCATGTACAATCTAATTAATGATACAATGGTCTATTACATTTGTATAGCGGCACATAAAAGTAAGTATTGTAAGCATTGTTTATGCTTATCGTAATCTAATCTATGTGTATTGATATGAATTCAATATTGCTTGGCCAGTCTGATCATTGATCAAACCCCGTTTACACTCTATGGTTTGTATTTTGGCAACACACACATACACAGGAAACTACCCCACCAGGCTCTCTCCCTTCCCCATCATCCCTCTCTTTCACCCCTGCTCTGGAAAAAGCACTCTCCTTAATCAGATTCATCTCTCTAATGGAACTAATGGAACTCCACTGAGACAGAAAGGACAGAGTGAACATATAAAAGAGGAGAGCACAAGAGAAAAAGACCTGCTGACACTACAGAGCATTTACACACATTACACGAAAAGTGAAAAAAATGTTCTAGGCTTATGCACTGAAATATGTTTATAAAGATACAGAATCTGTACTTTTGGCAGTTAATTCACAGTTCGCAAAATTCTGACACATCCAGCTGCAAGTTTTCGTTGCTACACTATATTGCCAAAAGTATTCACTCACCCACCCAAATCATTGAATTCAGGTGTTCCAATCACTTCCATGGCCACAGGTGTATAAAACCAAGCACCTAGGCATGCAGACTGCTTCTACAAACATTAGTGAAAGAATGGGTCGCTCTCAGGAGCTCAGTGAATTCCAGCGTGGTACCATGATAGGACGCCACCTGTGCAACAAGTCCAGTCATGAAATTTCGTCACTACTAAATATTCCACAGTCAACTGTCAGTGGTATTATAACAAAGTGGAAGCGATTGGGAATGACAGCAACTCAGCCACGAAGTGGTAGGGCACGTAAAATGACAGAACACACTCCTACACCTTGTGGAAAGCCTTCTCAGAAGAGTTGAAGCTGTTATAGCTGCAAAGGGTGGGCCAACATCATATTAAAAACTATGGATTAAGAATGGGATGTCACTCAAGTTCATATGCATGTGAGGGCAGATGAGCGAATACTTTTGGCAATATAGTGTATGTCCATCAAAGTTCCTTTAATTAAATGTTCAATAGCACAAAGGGAGATTCAGAAGAATGCAGATGAGTACATGAAAAAAAAACACATTTTAAAACTGGCTTGAATATACATTGGAGACATACATGTTTGAGAACTGACAAAATAGGAATGAGGAATGTTAGCCAATATAAAGTGAACAAAAAATGATTGTTAAACAACTTTTAACAAGATAACTAACTTGTTATCTCAAGATAACAATCTAGAAAATTATAACTCCCTCATGGCTTCTCTGGATTTGACCGTAGAATAGACCACTGAAGTTGTGTGTCATTCTGTAGTTCACGTTATGCTCATACTTGGAACTCCAGGTTTAAGCTTGAATTCTCTATGATCAAAATGAATGGGGTTTATGGAAAACCACCTCTATCAGGCCCTGTGGTGAATAAAAATGCATTTTTTCTTGCATGTCACTGGATCCATTAAAGAGTTGTAATACTAATATTGCTACATGCTAGCTAATAAAGACAGCGTGCATTTAGGCAACGTCCACACTGTGGGGGAAAACAACTCTGCACTTTCAATTGATTTATATTGCCCACTTCCCTCTACTTGTTTTAAACTAAAATTGCAAACATGCCAAAAAGCTGTTGCGTGGTGGGTTGCAAGACAAATTAGATTAAAAATCGGATTTAAGGTTTTATACGATTCCAAGACATAAAGTGGAGCTAAAAAGACATCAAAGTTGGCTTTAATGCTATCAACAGACAGTAGGTCTCCCCCATAGATATACACACCTAGATGCTGCGTTGTCTGTTGTTCTCTATGTGAGGCGATACGCCTGCGCGTCCGCCATGTTGGTGCCGTCAAGATCCGCTTGTGAACAAGTTCACTTGTACTGAGAAGTGATGGGTCTCAGGATTAAATCGGCCACAACTTCCTTATTATTCAACCAATTTTCACCAAATTTGTTTTGTTATAATCCTCAGACACAGAGTAATCTAGGTTGCACGGACTGCTCTCAGTAGCTTTTATTTCTTTATTAACTGATCGTGCTAATTATCACTTCTAATCTTTATACACAGAAGGAGGAAGCTACGTTGTCTTCCTGTTCGCCAGCTTCTAGTTTGAGTTTTCCTGTTCCACCTTAAATGGTGCAGCAGGCCATTTCTGGTGCCTGAAGCTGCACCATTTAAGGTGGAATGGGAAAACTCGAACAAGAAGCTGGCAAATAAGAACCTAACTTCAGGTTCATATAATAAGGTGCTAATCTATTATAAATATCTACACGGATTAAGGAGTGTAAGGACTATTAAATGAAATAAGTTTAATATAAAACCAGAGGAAAAACAATCACATCAACAGGTTCTCTGTGAATCACCACCCACACAGCCATATATCTACACATAAACATCACACAAACATGAGCGTCGATCGCTGCGTTCCCTCCGTTATATAATCCTATCCCTCTTTCTGAGTGCAATATTCTTGAAATAGTATAATTCTGGACAGTATCTTCCTAAACTGCTGCTCTGTAATGGTCCAGCAGCAATGTTGACTGCCCTAAAATGGTGGCGCCGTTGACGTGCCTGGCTTGACCCAACGCGGCATCTAGGTATGTATATCTATGGTCTCCCCATCCACAGGGACTTTATGGGGTCCTGATAGTATCCACATCTATCTATGTGATAATTTGTTGTTAATAAAAATTAGTATCCAATTCCCCAGATAGTTTAGCTAGTTAGTTAAGCTATCTAGATTCTAGCAATGGTAGCTTGCTCTAGGTTAGCTTACCAGCTAGCTAGCTAACAATGAGGGTAATGGTAATAGTACCTCTGATGATATGTAATAGTTCAGCTATACTGGAGCATTTTGCTCTTAAACATATCAATATGACAACTTCATATGTATTTGATTCAGATTGATACAGAAAAAGGAGGATATAGGAGGCTAACATTATCTCAATGACAATATTGACCAGCTTAACCTACCTGGTGATTTGGTCAGGTAATGGTATAAGTGGAAATAAGTGATGGTTGGCCGCACTAGCGGGGTCATTTTTCCACTCTGATTTTGGGACAAAAAAGGGACACTGAGGGAATCCAATAAGACTTAGTTTCTTATTATATCTGGCCCTTTCTTCTGACAGAAGGGTATTTCAATAGGATGGTGTTACACCTCATCTGTTGTTTCAAGACACAGTGCCCCACAATTTCCCATTCACTCCTTAAACTTCGCAGAATGTTTTACCCCGGGAGGCGCATGGTTTTCCCTCCGATGACGCAATGTGCTCTGTGTCTATGCTGGTGCATCAGTTTGACATCACTAAGCTATACAAAAGTAAGGTGGGTGTTCTGGAGCAATGTGCTTATCAAAATGTCCTACCATAGCGCATATTTATAGGTAGCTCTGTACATAAAACCTCTTGATGACAACACAGTTTCAGTGGCCTCCGACACAAGGGAATCACTGCCGTCCAGAAGATCAGGACAGTGTGTGTCACTATAGATATAAGTATTGTGTCAAAATCTTACCCAGTTAAAAGGGGAAATACGGAAACAAAAAATACGTAGGTGAAAAGTTTCGACATTTACACGTACTTATATATAGGTAAATATATATAGAAAAATAAAAAATATATATATATAAATTATATACAATTACAATTTTATAAATACTATATAATTTATATATTACATAAAAGTATTTTGTAATTAGTGACTTATGAATTTGGAAAGAGAGAAAGTGAGAAAGAAAGAGAGAGAGAGAGAAAGAGAGAGAGAGATGAAAATCTCAGGCCTTTTGAATCAAGCACTTTGAATGTATAAACAGACATGTAAGGAGCAAAACATATACTTTTCCTCTTGATAACTGAGTAAGAATACAGGTACTCAATTTCAATAACATTTTAAAATAATTTTAAAGTGCAAATTTTTACAATAATTGTAAAGCACACATCTACAAATCTAACTAATTGTAATACTTAATTATAGTAAAACAGAACGGTCACTTACACACTTTCCACTGTCCATGGTTATATGGTAGCTTGCTGAAACAGTCTACACTGTTGGATCAGTCATAAAAAAAACCCTACAGTTAATGACCAAAATGGCAACATGTACAGGGAACTGACATTTTGCCTTTTAAAAGTCCATTTCTGTGCAAATATCTTCCATCAATAATATTAAATGTTTTAATATGTACATGTATATATTTCTGTTCTTAGTGTTCATTAGTACACAATAATGGGATATAACTGTTTTTCTTTAAGCAAGGTTTCTCCCTAGTTTGTTCTATTGTGAAAAGGTTTTGTATACTTCTAAAGTAAGATATAGTGATACAGATACCCACCTCTATTCAGTGGGGTACAGAGCTGCCCCCAGTTCTGGATTCAAAACACTGAAACCACACCCTTAGGTTATTGTACAAAATAAGAATGAGTATTTTACCTTCACTGATATTCTTTTTCATTACGCACTCATTAGCCAGTGTTATAGTACAGCTTAGTCACTTGTGTTTCGATGCCTGAGATGGAGAAGACTGAAATTTATGTGCTTAACTGTGAAGTATAGAATATGCATCACTCCGTACAATAAAGCAAGTCACCCCCGTTCTGTTCTTTATCAGGTCTTACCATAAGATGGAAATAATATCAAGACTGTGGAGAACATCAACACTTCTTGTTCTATGACCTGTAGAAGCCTATGGTAGGTTAAGTTTCTGTGCTCAAAATGTTTGAGTGAATACTGAGAACAGACTGCACGAAAAAATGGTGTCTGCTTTGTCAGTTATTTCCAACCACTCAACCTTCTGCCTGACCTTTAACTATTAATCTGCTACAACAGAAAAGATAACAGCTATATATAAACTTTCATACTGAGGTGTGACTGGAGAAGAAATAAGATGAAAAGTGAGGAAAGTGGAGGACACAACACAGAGGGAAAGAAAAACTGAGTGAAACAGAGTGAAACACATTCCTGTGTAGTGTTTCACATGTTTATTTTCAGTTTCACAATAACTAATCTAAACATAGATTTTTTTATTTAGCTACTTAATGCAGTGTACATGTTTTCCATTCACTCAAAAATCTCACTGAAGCCCATACAGATGGCCATAAGCCTTGGATAAGAGTGCAGCAAACTCAGGACCTGGGCTCGTTGACCTTGGGCGGTATCCTAGGCGACAGGCTAGCCACAGTGATCCTTGTGGCAGACGGACAGGAAATGAAACCAAATCCTGAATAATAGTTTGGGGTCAGACCTAAATTAGCTGTGTTCCAGTTACTCCATGGTAAGCAGTGTGTTTTCGCTATAAAGACCAATAAATGTGTAAAATATCTGTCAGAATAAAGAACGTATTGTTGCTGTCGTAACAAAACCTCATATCTTTTTAGCTTTATGTGGGTTTAAGGGAAACTCCGGCCAAAATGAAAATTGTAACCATTGTTAAAGCTCCTGTAAACATACCTACTCGCCATATACAGCAGTGCTGCAGTGGTCTCTGGAGTGAGTATTACTGGTTTAAAGGCAAATAATAGCTCATTCTGATCTATATATCTTGAAGGTGGAAGACTACAAGTGCTTTTTGGGTGGGAATAATAATATATAATAATATATATTAAATTATAGAAAATTATAATAAATCTAACATTTCTTTAACTGAATAATTCCTTTACCAAAGAAAAAAAATGCGGTTAGTGCTTTACTGCTAATGCTACTTAACACCACAGGTGGCATTATTAGCCTGTAGATCAGTGGTTAGCAGTCAGGATTTGTTGAGAGTTGTGGTGTTTTTTATTGCCTGTGTGATTTATTTGCCTAATGCACACTGGGTATTGTAGTGGGAGAGTGACAACAACTAAAACACAATACAATATCATGAATTCTGTCAAACTGATGACTGAGGGGTACAATGCTACGTTACAGAGTAACATAACAAGTAATGTATGCTAGTTTTAGGCCGGAATGCCCTTTAATGTCCTGAGACTTAATTCTAAGTAATTTTGGACCATTTCTATTGGTCCATTCATCATGCAATTAACGAAATGCCAAAGAAATTAACAACAAAAATAAAGTTATGAGGTTTTGACGTCATACAGCACCATTACTTAAGAGTGAAATGATGTAATATAGCTGTGAGTAAATTGTAAATGTACAAATACAATAAAAAAGTCAGTTTTTGACATTGTGAATATACTGCAAATAAAACCACACATTCTTTGCACATGTTAACAGACAGTTTCCCATAGGCCCCTGGCTACTTTTCTGACTCTGCATTAATGTGTTACATGTATAGAAAACATGAAAACCTTATGACTGTGAACATGCATTTATTATGTACAGGGTAACCACTACAGCACTCTATTCAGCCAATTGAAACTGGCTGCTATTGTAATATCTATGAATTAAAGCAGATCTCTAAAATCTGTGACAAATAGAAGCTAAATGTACAGTGACACCCCAACAATCCAACATCCATTTAACTAACCCAGTGCTGAAATACTGTATTTGATGATCTTCAAATCATTTTCAGTTTCAACAAGAAAAAAAAAACCCCACAACATTCATATGCACACAGTCATTCAGTAAGCATCAAGAAGTAAAAGAAATGGCTGTGTTAGTTATTCCTCAGTAGTTTTTCACTGATCTTTTAGCACTTCCACTTTCATTTTTCATAATCATTCATAATAAATAAATGAATAATCATTCATACACAGCGTTCCGTTTTTGTTCCAAAGGACCCGCACACTCTTATTTGTTATGAAACCCTGAAGAACGTATCCGCGCAATGGAAACTAGGAGCCCAGTTCTCAAGTGCTTTAACCTATGTTCACTTCTTGCGTTGACAAACAAGAAGAAGCCATCAAAAGACAAGTCTGTCATCTTCAGAGTTGGGTCTAAGTCCACTACAAGTAAAATACAAAGCATTCTGAAATTACAGTGTTCCTGGTTTATTCATACTGGCTATAGTGCCAGTAACTCCTCAAGCAATTTTTGTTTAGATCTCAATTTTGTTGCTAAAGCATTTCAATGCATAAAGAGGAAATCTACTGTGAAAATATGGCTACAGATGAGCTTAGATTTAAGCTTAAAATGTATACCAGTAATGCTGGAGCAAGTACTTAGCATATGACCACTCAGTTCACCCGTGAAATACTGAAAATCAGTGCTACAATCTGACTTTTCCTTATCAGTTATTTGTAAATTAATGCAACGTCTACATAATCAATTAACATCTGAAAAAAGGACTGCTCAGTAATTGCTATCTTCAGTGATATCAGTGTTGGTATTGGTATCAAAAACACTGAACGATACCCAGGCCTAGTGGAGACGGGTGTTATCAGCTGAATTACATTAAATATGCCATCTAAAGCAGCTGCATTGTTTGAATGTCACGAGACACACTCGTAGCTCCCACTCCCTATTTTTATTAATACAATGTTTGCCCAAATTATTGTGAAAATATCAAATTGTGAACCCAGTATTGTAAATGAAACCGTGTACTCTTACACCCCTAGTCTTTAGGGTCTGCCCAGTTCAAAATACATCCTGGACAGTCGTTATTGATTCTAGCCATAATGGACCCTATACTTTTCCTGTTCCTCTTCCAACACCCCTCTCCAAATCACTAGCCAACTGACCATTTGCAAAATAATGGCTGACATGGCTCTCATCCAGAATTGTCTCTAAACTGGACTTCCTCCATCACACGCAATAACAAGTGAAACTGACACTGGCAGTAAATTACATTGAATTATTAAGCAAAGAAAGGTGTTACTGATGAACATGTGATAATCTGGAGGGTGTGTTATTCCCCCAGCAGAATCTTTTGGATTAATCTATGTGGAAGATCACACTCACAGCTCAGTGCCACAACTACGGACAGGCTGACTCTCAGGTAACTTAAGCTAAACTTTATCTGGGTTACTAGATTTGCTTTAATACATTTTATTGTGATGTCTAGCGACAAATGATGTTACAACGCAATGTTAAGATCAGATAGTTAACTAAATTAGCTTTTCTGCTGCTCATCTTAACCTAGCTGTTGACAGTTTGATGAATCAGTCAGATTAAGTAGGACTGTACAGTCAGAAACATTCTGTGTAAAGACAGAGATTAATGCACTCGTACACATTATCATTTCTATTGTTTCTTTAAAGTATGCTAAAAGACCTTGTGTGTACGAAGGCATATCTTTCTCAGCATCTTCTCTGACTAGCTCCAGTGTTGGCTTTTGCATTAGCTGATCTGAAAGGAGAGCTTTTAGCTCAGTCTTCCTCCTTATTAGACATGAAAACCTTCCACTTTAAAGTTCAGTACCTAAAAGATTCCCTGGTTTGATCAATATGAACATGGTTTCCACAATCTTAAATCTCTTAGTCATATTTTGTCTATTCTTAAACATGTAAGGCTGCACTGAACATGTAAAGCCAGTTTATTTTTCAATAATAAAATGTTTTCAGGGGTACTCATCGTTCTCCTAAAGTTTTAGTCGGTTAGCACTAATGATACAGATGCTAGCAGATAGCCTGAGCTAAAGGTTTGATGGGCATAGCAACCATAACTAAAGGAGACTTGACTTTCCAGAATTTTGCAAACGGTCAATCATCATCTATATAAGGAGAATTTGGTGTATTACAGAAAAACAAACACTAAACCGTGTAAGATTCAGAAAACTGCAATTAAAAACAACTGGTTAGGGGGTGCTATTACAGATAAAAGCATTCTTTCCCATAAACATTTCAGTCTGCCCTTCAATCCAACATGCTTTTGCATTATTGTCAAGACTTTTCACGAACATATCCGTGGTATACATTCACTTATCCTTCATATTTATCTCTGGACTTCTGCGTCACATGACCATTTTATTTGTCCCACTCTCGGGGGCTGCTACGTTGGATTCACTGGCTCGCTTTCTCGCCTGCCTGTGCTGTATCCTGAATCACCAGCCTGGATTCCTCCAGCACAGCTTCCAACTCTGGGCTGCTCAGGTTGACCAGCTGGCCCTCCTGCACCTCCAGGTCCTCCTTGGCCTCCTCTTGCTCTGGTTCCTCCTTCTCAGGCTCGGCTTCTGGCTCAGGCTCCACTTCTCCCTCGCGGATCTTCTTCACGTAGAAAGTGAAAGGAGGCACGCGGTAAGTTGTGGTTTTAGAGCGTGCGTAGACCGCGTGCTCTGGCGAGAGGGATTTCTTCAGCTTGTCGCGGGACATGCGCAGCTTCTCCTTCCGCTCGGTGTTGGGTGTGATCCTTGTCCCCAGCTTACCCATCTTCTTGCCCAGGCTCAGTCTGGTCTTCTGCAGGTTCTCCCTGGTCCTCAGGCGTGTTTTCTCTAGGTTCTCCTTGGTTCTCTGACGGGTCTTTTCCAGGTTCTCCTTGGTTCTCTGCCTGGTCTTCTCCATCTGCTCCTTGCTGAAGGCCTTCTTCAGCTCGTCCACGCGCTGCAGGCCGCTGCGTTTGATGCGCGCCGCCCGAGATTCCTCCACAATTTCCTCAATCTCCACCTCCTCTTCATCTCCTCGCTCCTCTTCTCCTCCTTCACTCAGAACCTGCTCACCTTCCTCACCTGCTGCCTCGGCCTTCTTGGTGCTCTTCAGCGGCTTTTCCTTAACAGAGAGAAAGGAAACTTTCATTTTTTTTTTAAATTTAAATTAACAGTTGCTTTAAACAGTTAAACTTTATACTGGCAACACTGTTCTCTGTACAAATATTCCAATGAAGCTAAGACAGATAAATAAGACATCATAATCAATAAAGATTTTAAGTATTTATTAAAGCGCAACAGTTATTTATTTTTCCTGTAATACAGTCACATGATACCCTTTTTGGTTTGAACTGATGATTGATTTGATTCTGCATGTCCTCAGCCTAGTTTCCCTACCGGAGCTGCAATGAACAAGTCTGGTTTCTGTATTGTTCAGCAAGGCTCAGTGTTGGAGGTACTGCCATTTTTTTTTTTAATTCAGAACATGTTTTCACATGCATTACTGTAATTAAGGGGGTGGAAATGGTATGAAAATGAATCAATGCAGTCTGTTTATAAACTGCCTAATGAAAGACTATAATCTACAAAGAGGTGAATACCTTGTCTCCCCCTACAGGACATTTAATATACTGGCTGATGCTGCATTTGATTCACTTGTTAACTCCGTCACTAGCGTTTGCTGTATAGTGAACTAACTGGAAAACGAGGATGAAATGGCTGAAAGATACTGGTGAAACCGATACTGTTGAGAATTCAAACAGCATTACAGCAGGTATGAGACATGTATGAGTAGTGCTCTATCTCTGTAAGAAGGAACAGTTTTAAATGCAGCATATGACTTACCACACTGCGGTCTACTACAATTTAAAGTCTTGTTTATTTATCTCTGATACACATATATATGTATGTATATATAATTTTTTTTATTTAGTCTCTTTACATGACTGAATTTTGAAAGACAATAAAAATATACATATTTATAAGAACAATAAAACTTTGATTACATTGATTAATCATCACCATCTGGGCTAAGTTTTAGACTATGATTCTGAACCCCACCGCTCTGTCTCTCTACTTTCGGCTATGAGTTAAAAACTAACTGACAGTTTAGTGCTGACTAAAAGATCAAGAAAATTATGCGTGCAAGAGTGGACACTTCACACCCATCGAAATGTACGTTTCATATCAAGCGTATGTACATGTGCTGTGAAACTGAAGCGCATGATTCATACTGAAAGAACCATATCTACAAAAGAGCAAAGTAAGCAAGATATGAGATCACAAGCACACAGTGACAGACTTCCTCGTGCCTAATAACAAACCATATCTTCATCTGATCATAAGCCGTTTCAGTCCAAAGTTGCTATCAGTTATAAAATCACTCATACTTACATGCGTGTATGTGCACCATGCACAATGCACTAATGCATCAGTGTGCACATACAAACTGTGTAAAAGTCAAATACCACCTTTCACTTATTCAATTTCCAGTCAAAACAGCCATTAAGTACAAGTTATTATTTTTTTCAGGAGATATTTGTAAAGAGGTTTGAAAGTTGCATAGAAAATGGGTCTCCTAACAACTGTGCAAGACCTGGTAGACCATCAAACCGTGAATGTGTTTGGGCTTACTTGGATTGTGAGAAGCAGAAAATTCAACCAAGTTCTAAGACTGAACTTTGGAGGTGTGAAAAAAAATATTGCTGCAGATTTCTTTGAAAAACTGAAAGCATGTCTCCTGAAATGAATGGAAGCTAAATGCATACTAATTTCTAAAACATTTGATATCATATATGCAGTTGTTGAGGTTTCTGTGAAATGAAACATGAATAACCTGTAATTAACGTCCATTTAAATAAAAATTAAATAAAAGAAGCATGGTCTCTGACTTTTGCAGTACTGTACATATATGTATACATATATATTTTGCAGTACTGTTCTATATGTATATATATATATATATATATATATATATATATATATATATATATATATAGACTAAAAACAGGCTAATAACTAAGATCACGTTTGAATTGTTCAGATTGAAATAAAATTGAATTGAAATAAATTGAAATAAAAGCTGTCGGGTAAAAATAATTTATCTAGATTAAATTGAATTACTCAATTAAAAAGAGCATCAATTAAAATGGACATTTTCAATGAATTAGCAATGATGAGTTGCCAATTTTTCATTCTTTTTAAAGTCAATTTTTTTATTCTGATCACTTAATTAATAATCAAAATAATTGGTAGGTTACTCAATTAGCAATAGAATCAATAGTTTATTAGTTTTGCACTGTAGCTCTGAATTTAACACTACCAGGAGTTTAAGCAACTTGTTTTGCAACGTGCTATAGCTGCAGAGAGTTGATAGAAATTGCCAAAGTGCTCCATCTGGTGGCCAACAGCAGGAAGAACACCCACAAGACCCTAATGATAAACGAGCATTCCTATGAAAGAGGAACTCTCTCTGCTCCCTGTCGACCATCAAGTCCTCATAAAATGTCCTCTGTTACCTTATGCGGCGTTGTGTGAGACCAAGACGAGAGTGTGCGTGTGTGTGTGTGTTTATTTTAGGGTCGCCTTTCCTGCTGCCTGGATTCCATCTGCGCCATTCCCTCATTCCCTGGACCTCAGCCACCAATGCCACCCCCCTCACCCCCAAGGCCTGATCAGTATCTCCTGCAGCACCCTAACAAATAAATACTGATGCTGTCACCATGGCAACAGTCAGCACCGCAGCCTGCTAAAGCTAGAGGGCAGCAGCAGCAGCTTCACTAGAGATTCATGGATTGGGGGCTAAGCTTTTACTAGGGGGCTAAGCTTTTACTCAACACATTTCTGTTCATCAGGAACTTTTAGAGGAGCAATAGATTGATTTAAAATGGCTATTTGGTCAAGCTGGCACACAGTAAATCAGTAAATCAAGCAACACTGTCTTCACTCTCATTGATAAGCTGCAGATCGTAAATATGTAATTCAAATACACAGATTATGAACTGGTTGTGTCTCAATTGGTGCAGTTAGAAATAATGTCATTTTGTTCTGTAAGTTGCACTTACATGTTTATTAACCTAGGTTAGGTAGCAGAATTTCATGGTCACAGTAGCATCTGATAACACAGTTACATTTTCTCAAGAAAAAAATGTTTTTTAAGGCTCACAAATGAGGATATATTAAGGGAATAATGAAAACTTAAAAGCTGGAAGCTTAAACAACTCTCGCTCGCTTTCTTCCTGATCACTAACCTCCATCAGATCTGCTCCTTCGGTCCTGTCAGTCACTTTTAGCTTCTTTCTCTCCCTCTCCTCGTCTTTAGCATCATGTTCATTTTATTAAATTCAGATTTACGTGAACTTACTAATGAGAGATCAATCTGGTCATTTTGTGTTTGAGCTGGCAATGTTTCTCACCTTACTCTGCCCTTTCAGAGCTGCTGCATCATAATTTCCACCTCCAGATTGAAGGATATTAAACTGCTAGGATCAACACTGTGACCTTTTCACTAACTGTAAACAGTTTATGGCTGATACTGTGGAGACTGTTCTAAATACTGTATATCAAAAAGCAAAATACTATAAAAAGCTGTAAATAGCGTTATTTCTATCTCTTTCACTCGTTCACAGTCTTCAGTGTCTGTAGTTTCCTAATATTACTTCTTGTTAGCTAGCTAACGTTACTGTTGTATACAGCTAACGTGAGCCTTTTATTTACCTCATTTTAACCTAAAGTTAGCTAACAAGCACATAGGTTAAAACTCAAGCCAGCTACATTGACCAAATCCATACTGTGTAGGCATTTTCACTCTGTAACTACTCGCCCTGTATATTATATATTTTTTTACAAATGTTTAATGTTTGATTTAGTGAACCTTTAGCCTAAACCCTGTTACAACTTCTACGGCTGCGAATGACATTACTTAGCAGAGCTGGCAGCACCAGAGACCCTCCCCTGTGTCTCATATGATTGGTTTACAACATAAGAGGTCTGATATGATTGGTTTACAACTTAAAAGATCCGATATCATTGGCCGATTGCTTTCTCTCCATAATCTCTGGTAGCACAGCAGAAGCTCTCCTAAAACCGGCCTAGCGGCGCCCCAGACAGCCGTAAACAAGTGTTGTAAGAACGTGTGAGTGTGAGACATTCACAGAGCAGTGCAGAGATGTGTACAAGAGAGAGTGTGAATTTGTGTGCACTGCTGTAAGTGTTTCAGTTTAAATGTGACACATTGTGTGTGTGTGTGTGTGTGTGTGTGTGTATTAGCACAGGGATGTATTAAAGGGCCCATATCTTACATTTTGTTCATCTATTCCATTTTTAAGATTTTTTATGGATTTATGCACCAACCATTTCCAGCCCCTTAAACAGCCTGTTTTTGTTACTGTGCTTTAAGACTCTTATATGTAAATGATCTCTGCTTTGATTAGCTGCCCTGTGTTTTGCCTCTTTCATAAAGCAATCAGGGCTGAAACATCTTATAACTTCAGTATGAATGGGTGGAGTTAAAGTTCTGTAGGCTTAATAGGTGGATATATGGGGAGTATATGGGGAGTAATTTGGTCAATCATATTACTAGCAGAAATTAGCATCAGAAAGGTGGATTTTTTTTCTGGAGTTCTGACATTTGTGGCCTAGCTTCAGTAGTCATGGTCTGCCACTGCTGACAACCATACAACCTTGTATGAAGAAGCTAGTAGACTGTGTGCTGCAGTTAGCATTTGCACAATAGAAAGAGTTTTTCATTTGTCCTTGTTAATTAGAAATAACCTTGTTACCAAGATCTATTACTGTTAAAGGGCTTATAAAATTGCCATTTTTACTGTGACTGTTTTCCACAAAACTATGGGTAACTATCGTGGCATTGTGTGCATGTGTAAAAGTTAGCAGAGACCTCACAAAAGTTTCTTTAACGCTACAGCTCCTTTTCCACAGCAGCAACAGTACTGACTCTACCAAGACTCAGTGTTGATCTTTAAAAGAATAATTAAGCAAATATTCACACAGTTTTTCTTTACCATAAACGTAGTTAACCAGCCAACATGTTTTCCATAGTTTTGTGACTTGACTGAAGTTTGCTTCTTTTTTTTCACTGGAGCTACAAGGTCAATAACTACATGA